ATTGTAGACCACTTTTATTGGAAGAAGGAGTATCAGAATCGTGGGGCTCCTCATTACCATGTCCTACTCTGGATTAGAGATGCACCACTCATTGATAGAGACGATCCCGAGAAGGTGCTAGACTGGATCCAGGATAGAATCACCTGCCACATTCCCGATGAACAGGGTAGCCCTGAGCTGCACAGACTAGTCACCAGGTACCAGATGCACAAGTGCAGCAAGTACTGTAAGAGGCGGAAAAGGTGTGGCAAGACAGCATTCATCACCAGGTGTAGGTTCGGGTTTCCCAGGCCAGTGTGTGAGACTGCTCAGCTCAACCCCGTCCAGGAGAGCCTGAAATCCCGTAACCGAATTTACCAGTTGGTCCGTACTCTGGCTGAAACAAGGGTGAATGACTACAGCCCCACTGTTATTGATGCTGTGGAAGGCTATATAGACATTCAGTTTGTAGCCGAAGCCTCTCTAGCTCTTGCTCACTATGTCAGTGGCTATGTCACCAAGGCTGAGCGTAGCAACATGCAAGACATCTGGCAGGAAGTTAGTGACACTAAGAGCATTTACAGTCGCCTTTTCAGCTTTGGTGTTAGAAGTTTACGGTTCAGAGAGTGTGGTCTGTATGAGGCCATGATCTACTGCTGGGAGACCACCTCACTGAGAAGTCTGACACAGTCAAGTGGGTAGACGTCTCCATGCCACACAAAAGATCCCGTAGACTGAAGAACCACAAAGTCTTACAAGAAATGGCTAGGCTGAACCCAGATAGTCAGAACATCTTTGAGGATAATGTCTTAGATATATTCTATCCTCAGAGACCAGCCACCCTTGAGAATGTTTGTTTGTATGACTTTGTGGCCAATTATGAGTTTCAGGGTGTTAGACACCAAATGGTCAGAGAGTGTACAAGAAACTAGCAAGCCTAAACTCCCTAACCACAAAATCTTGACCCTGAAAATGAGAACCAGAAACAAGATTATTTCTACTCTCTGGTGTTACTGTTCTCTCCATTTAGAGATGAGAGTAGTTTACTGCAGGGTAATGAGACAGCTGAGCAGGCATTTCATAGACTACTCACTAGCCAGAGCTCAAGCTATCACTCGAAGCTGAGGACAGTGTTAGCAGCAGCATCAAATGTAAAGAGCATTAATGAAGCGCGTCAGGCCAACATGGAAGAAAAAAGAAGCTAAAGAAGACAATGAGCCTCAGCTGCTAGGTGAAGCTAGAACAGCCATGACTGAAGTTCTAGACATGAAAGCCAGTACCCCTGGTCAGCTGACTCTAAATGAGAGAGTGTCCATGCTGAATCAGGACCAGAAGAGAGTCTTTGAGAACGTCAAGGCTCACTTCCTGCACCAAAAGTGTCACGAGGCAAAACAGTGTTCGTGTGATTTTGCACCTCTTAGATTGTTTGTTAGTGGTGTGGGTGGTACTGGTAAATCGTTTCTCATTGAGGCCATCAAGGCCCTAGTGAACAGTCTGTGGAATAGTGAAGGCCTCCTCTGTGGTATTGCAGCACCAACTGGGCTTGCTGCATTCAATGTCGGAGGTATCACTATCCACAGACTCTTCCAACTCCCTGTTGAGCATGCTACCAAAGCCACTAGCTATTGGCCACTGCCCAAAACATCCCAGAAGATCATGAGAGCAACTCTCTCTGAAGTCAAGTTGTTTATTGTAGATGAGATTTCAATGGTTTCCAGTATCAACCTGGCTTTTGTACACATGAGACTAGAGGAGTTGTTTGGTAGCAGTGAGTGGTTTGGGTCTCGGAACATGCTGTTTGTAGGTGACCTCCTCCAACTCCCACCTGTCCATGGGAATCCTGTTTTTGAGAAGGTTGCCACTAAATCAATCCTGTCCCAACTAGGGTGTGCAGCTGCCATCAATATTTGGAGAGATTGTGTTACGTATGATGAGTTGACTATCAATGAACGGCAGAAAAATGATCCACAGTTTTCCTCCATGTTGGACTGTGTGAGACGTGGTTGTCCAACCAAGGAAACTGTGAGTGTGTTGAAACAGAGGGTCATACAGGTGTCTGTCTCAGACAAGTTTTCTGAGCTACAACAGTCTGGCAAGGCACCTGTTTGCTTATTCCCCAAAAGGAAAGCGTGTGATGACCTTAATGCACAAATGCTCCGCAAGAATGCTTCCGAAGTGCATGACATTTATTGTACTGATGAGATTGACGAAACAGCAGGCAATAGGAAGATGACCAAGAAGATCATTGAGCATTTGGATAAACTGAACGCTGACTGCAACATGACAGCTGGGTTGGAAGCCAAACTGTCTCTTGCAGTCGGTGCACGAGTCATGCTACGTCGCAACATTGACACCAAGGCTGGGCTGGTCAATGGTGCTATTGGTACAGTGCTGTCAATAGCAGCCCAGCATGTGACAGTGCAGTTTGATAATGTACCTGCTCCATGTAAGATTGATAAGGTCAGAAGCAGGTTCATGGTGATGAAGAATTTCTATGTGTATCGTAGACAATTCCCTCTCATTTTAGCCTATGCAATTACCATCCACAAGTGTCAGGGTCTGTCATTAGACTGTGCCATAGTAGACCTGTCTGAGGAGGTATTCAGTGATGGAATGGCATATGTGGCTCTATCCAGGGTTAGGTCACTAGATGGTCTGTTCCTAACAGCCTTTGATCCCCAGTCCATCAGTGTTAGTGTGAGTTCCCTGGGGGAAGTAAACCGCCTCAGAAAAACCCATAGACCTGATCTTCCTCTGTATGATATACCACACATCTCTAAAAGAAAGAGGAAGCTCACTGGTGTAGACAAAACTGTTTCCCCAAGTGTAAAAAAGGTCAAGGTGAATCCCTCATCTGCAAGGGATAATGAGGACTGTGTTATTACAGGTACAGAAACACCTGCTGCTAGTCCTTTCAATTTCCACTCTGTAGATGTACAGTGGCAGCAAAGTGCATGCCAAGAGCTGGGCCTCCAATATTGTACACAAACACCAGTAAGACCAGGAGGACCCGCTGTCCCCCTCACACGTCCAGACATGCGTAGTGTGAGACGCGTACAGGGAGATGGTAACTGCCTCTTTCGAGCATTTTCTTACATTCTGACAGGGTCTGCAGATCAGCATATTGGTGTACGACATGCTATCCTTGACCACATGACAAATAATGCCCAATATTTCCTAGGCCACCATCTCGTAGGCTATGACAGTATTCAAAGTTATATAGCTTCCACAGGTATGGACCAAGATGGCACCTGGGGAACTGACATTGAGATGCTGTCTTTGGCACACCTGCTCCAGACCCCTGTCTTCTCATACAGCCAGCAGCATGGGCAGTGGCAGCGGTACTCTCCTCATGATGTCGACAGACAACTGATGGATGACATTCACCAGAGGTCTATGTATCTATTGCACACAGGAAACCACTTCAATGTTGTTGGTTCTATAAGGAAGAGTTAAAGAAGCCACATGTGCTCATATAGACTATACATGGGCTCTCTGAGCATGTTGGGGAAGGAGAGGGTGGGTCCCTGCAATTTATTGAGGTGGCTTCCCCATTTCATGCTATAACCACTGTAGAAAGTGTGATTTACATGTCCTGTACATGACTTCTGAACATGTTGGGGAAGAAGAGGGTGGGTCCCTGCAATTTATTGAGGTGGCTTCCCCATTTCATGTTCTAACCACCCTCCTAAAGTCTCAGACTTCATGGAGCTGACTGGTTTCAAGTGTAGGGAAACTGCACTGTCTTTACCACAAAGTTTTAGGGGACTGTAACTGCATCACAAAGTTGAGGGTAGCACACTGTTAGAGGTGAATGTCTGTACACTGACAATTGTGTTGTATGCCAACAGTAGTGAGTAATCCCTCAGGAGACTGGTCTTAGCTCTGACAGAATATTATCCTCCTCCCTTGAGGAGTGCACTCTACAGTCAGTAGCTATGCCTGTCGGGGTACTACTACATTGAAGCTACACACTACTCACCTAAACATCAGTGCACATAACTATTGTATGCAGTATATCAGCACCCTTCCTACATGCACCTTCACATAGTATTCTGAACAAGGTGGTTACTATTTATAGGCTCCTCTTTTCTTACAACTACATATATATTATCTGGTTTTCCCCTGGGAAGCTTTCTACCTCTGCAGGTCTTTAAAGGCTGTGATCTTCTGTCTAAGGGGCACTGGTGTCTCAACCATAGCTGACCTGTCAGAGGAAGGAGATCACTGTACTCAGCTTATCAGGGGCCTTAGCAGGTGGGGCTCTGAAGTGTTTTCCCCAGCCCTTATCACAATGCTGACTTTACACATCCTGTGCCCTTATCACCACTGCTGACATAGCTATTGTAAAACCCTATCCTAGCCTTCTATACTATAATTTGGGTTGCATTCCTCACTCTTTTATTGGTGCATACCATCTTTATGTTCTAAGGTGCTGTGCACTTGTCAGACCTGGACCCTACAAGCTTCTACTACACATCCACTACGCTCTTTGGCCTCCACCTTTGACTTCAGCTGGGTAGACCACTTCAAAAGAGTGAACTCCTTGCACAACAAATCACATTCATTATAATTATGTTGATGTCTCACTTGCGCATGCGCCCGCTACGCGCGAGAGGCGCGCGCAAGTGCGTAAAAATTGCAACGTCACCCGGCCGCCGCGCGCCGTGCGTGCGTGCGTGCGTACGAGTGTGCGCCGCAGCAGCCCCTCCCCCTCGCTCTGCAACCCGAAAAGGGTGGGGCTGAGTATGCGCAAAAAATAACTGGAACAAGTGGAAAAATCATTTCTTCAAAATGAAGGGGGATGTAGGGATGGTGTAAATTATGAAAAAGGATGCCAACAAGAAGATGCTTCAGCCGACAACAAAAATCGTACATCCATCCCTACATCTTTCTTTACAGTCACAACCTCTACTGTGATAATTATGTTGTGAATAATGTATCTTACATACTCTATGACAAGTAACCACACATTTTTTTATACAGAGCAAAAGAAAGAAAGATGTAGGGATGGATGTACGATTTTTGTTGTTGGCTGAAACATCTTCTTGTTGGCATCCTTTTTCATAATTTACACCATCCCTACATCCCCCTTCATTTTGAAGAAATGATTTTTCCACTTGTATATTGTACACCATGCATGTGAATGCAGGAAAAAAAGAAAGGAGACAAGTAAAAAAAAAATGTGTGGAACGTGGGATGCCATAAAAAGTAAGGAGACAAGACAGGGATGATCTAGTGATCGTGATGCAGTAGTACAATGGTGATGGCTACATACTTTGAACTGACATCGCTTGCTCGTATAAAATTTCCTCCACACAAGCCCTATATTGTCGCCACCTTTACTGTTTGTTTAGTGAAGTGCGAGGACAATGGTGAATGGATTCTGTATGTAGATGGCCAAGAACGCAGCATTGTAAAACTGGTTAGTTGAGCAAATGTAGAAGTCTTAGACTTCACACAAGGCAGTCACAACTGAAAATACAATAAATGGTATTACCTGTCTAATGTGCTTATGAAATAGATCGTAGCTGTGCATCATACAAGGGAGCACACTCGTACTTTGCGAGCTTGTGTGGAGGAAATTTTACAGGAGCAAGCGATGTCAGTTCAAAGTATGTAGCCATCATCCATTGTACTACTGCATCACATTCACTGGGTCATCCCTGTCTTGTCTCCTTACATCCCTATATTCCACACTTTTGAATTTTTTATTTATTTTTAACTCTTTGTGCTAAAGCAACACAACTACGATCCATAACAGGTTTTGGTGGTAAGGATTGAATCAAGGACCTCGCTTTACAATGATTACATTACCAACTGCATCACTTAGGTACACTGGGTAGACACTTGTTTAATTCTTAATGAGGTATATACAACATTAAAACCTGCATTAATAGGAGCAGTAGAGATCGTGAGACTGAATCCATAGCTGATAGGACACGAGATACTTGGAGATGTCACTCTGGCACATACTTCAATGCTGTCTCCTTCGTTGACTTCGTAAGACATTTCCTCCAGGCCCACAGTAGCATCTGTGGCAGTAAAAACACATGTCACAGGGACTTGTGACAATGAAGAAACGATCGCTTGGTGGGTGTGCACACCTCCGTGGAACCTGGAGATGTTCAGTGAAAAAATCAGAGCGAATCCACGTCTCCCCTATAATGTAATGAGATACTAATTGGTGTAGTATAGTGCTCATTGCTGCAAATTGTTCCGGTAATAAGGATAGAGCAGGATTGAATACGATGATGATGACGAAATCGTGTATGAGCGACTTCTCGCGTGGAGAACTGAGAGGGCACGTAGGAAGTCTTGATAGCTAAACATGGGCCCGTAGACTATTGCTAGTGATTTATGAAAGCCTAGGGAGTCATTCACGCCGAGTTTTGAGGTGTTTTGTAAGTAGATCACGTGAGATTTGACCCGTGCCATCCCTATAATTATAGAGCGTCTACCGACGCTCTACTAAAAAACCAGGTCAGGAAACAAACCATGTTCATCTTCAATGGCAACAGTAGTCACATTAGGACTGAGTATGATGCGCTCAGTGAAGTCTTGACTTGGTGGTTGTAGAGTGATGGTAAAGGTTTCAGTGTCTTCAATGAGGTCGTCATCAATGATGTCTACTGTCAGACATTCCTTCTTACTGCATGCACCAAAATTCACAGCCCTGTCATTGAGTGTATAATCACGACCTTGGACTATAAAAGGACAGAAGGAAGATGACATATATGGCAGATTCAACAACATACATGCAGTGCCCTGGTTTGCAGCAAATATCAGCTCAAAAGGGAATGCAATAGGACAGGCAGTGGTCGGAGAAAACACCACCACACACACATTAAGTTGCAGATTATCTTCCTTCACTGTATATGTCATATTATCCAGTCCCACAGTAGCTTCTGCATATAAAAAGAGGGGAAAAAATTATGTTTGAAATACAAACAATTGAATTGGGGGTAGTTGACAATAGTCACGTCTGACTGAAGGGATGGTGGCTAAGTGGAGGTTTGCTAAGCTTCCCCATACAGAAAAACTCCATAGCGCTGTCCCCTTTGTACTCAAGGACTCTTTTATATAGTACCTTGCACCTGCACCATTTCAACTCTTTTTTACCTGAGATAATAATTATTGTACTACCTTTCAATAATCTCAGAAATAGAAAATATCCCTTCTCTATATATAATTATTTTTCTGTTCACCACTGAACGTTTCTGCCAATCTTTGGATGCAAGTAATTAAGGGGAATATGTGCGGATACAGGAAGCCAGCTGTTAGATGTAGCAAGGCTAATAATACAGGAAGGATTGGCAGTCTCACCTAAGCTAGTACGGATAATATACCCTACAGACAAACTTGTGGTAGTACTTATGTGGTTACATAACACATAGGGTATACTATCACAGATCGAGGGTAGCAGTAGAGCTTAGTAAGACCATAGCAACTGAAATGCAATAATTCTTACCAAAACTGGGATTGTCTCTGATGGTGATCGATCCATTCCCAATTATAGATATCCTACTATCATTGCTTTCTAGTGTTATAGGTCTTGAATAGGGATTCTCAAGGATATTGTTATCTTCAACACGGAATATCCCACAACTTCGTTGGTGAAATGTAAAACAGATTTTTACTTTAATCTTAACTAAAGAAAAGTAGAGAAAGGTAGTAAGATAGTTTAGACAATAAGTACTTAAGACATACAGATTTTAAATCTGATGCAAATCTCTGTATCCACATCAACTGATAAAATGGCACATATTTCACATTCTTCTCCTTCGATTAAAGAGTAGTGCTCCCTTTCCAACTGCACTAAGGCTCCTATTAAATGAAAACATGCAGAGACAACAATTTTAAATTCATAAAAATTTAAACCCTCATACCATCAGTATCATTGATCCAGATATCAACCTTGTCTTCTTTTACGATAACATCACCACCACTCCCAAATTCATAGACTAGACTAAGAGTGAACTGTTCCATATCTTCTACTCTCACATCATTAATAATGGCCACATTAAAACAGGCTTTCTCTTCACAAGGGTCCAATCTGAGGATTGACTGTAGTGACCTGTAGTCCTGGCCTGCCACTATAAAACAGATAATACTTGATGTACAAAGTTAAATTAGCCAAGTCAAGTTAAAATAACCTGCTGTGACATCTGAAGTTGAGAGGGTAATAGGGATGGTACCTCTGAATGATGTCCATGAGCTGTAACTAACACACACACTTCAGCTCTACCATCCTCCTCTTGTACAGTCAATGACCGTCTCTCAAATTCCACTGTTGGCACTAAAAAAAAGTAGAAGAAAGATAGGAAGCAAGGAGAGGCCTACATTGACGAATTCAACATGCATCTTCATTCAATATTCTGTTGTTGTAAACATGTCACTATGATAATCTGAGGTTAATGCACGGATGGCATGGCCGAACACAAAACCCATAATACAGATGCTATCAGTGCGCATTCCAATCGTGTAAGTGACAGTGACACACCTCTGTGAACTCCAACAGGTTTTATCAGTGCATTTCAAGTAATAAGTTAGAATAAATATAATAGAAATTGCTGTTTAGTTTAGTGTGGGTAAATTTTTGTGCTGTGTAAAACTAAGTAGTAACTACAACGATTTTGTGCACACTTAAGAAATGTCCTGAAAATGCAATATAGTCACATGAACCTCTATAAAGCGTCATTTATGCATAGTAGAGGGTAGGGTGGTTTTGTGGTTCAGATTGATGTGCACTTGAGACCCTCATGGATTCTTACCGAAAGCAGACAAAATAGTTATATTATGCTTCACATCAACGAGCTCAATTCTGTTATCGTGATTGTCTGGAGGTTCCAGGTTGATACTGAGTTGATTGATGGCAGAGATATTCACAGGAACCAGAACACACTTTTGGATGGCACATTGTTCAACTGTCATGGTAATGTAGTCATCACCAGTTCCTAGAACAGAAGCAGCTGAAAATATAATTATACAGTTAGTGATGAATTGTGAGAAACTATTGAGGTAGATAATCGTTCGGTCAAAATTGACAGTAAACCTATCTAAAGTGTTATTCTGCAAAACTTCAAAGCTTCCACAGCAAATAAGGACTAAAATGTTAGTGACATTAGTAAACAACTATTAAAATGCAGCAACTTACCATCATTTTCACCTTGAATGGAAACTTTCAAATTGAATTGAAATCCCACCGGACAAACTGCACTGTTGTAGGGTGGCTTTGCCTCAACACACACTTCAATCTCTGTCTCATTGTCATAAACTTCAAGATCAGTTTCCCTCAGACCAAACCTAGTAACTTTACAGTAGGGAACAGGGAATGTTGTTGCAGATATTTTGTAATGTGCACCCATACCATCATCATCAGTGATGGTGATGGTTGCAGGTGTATCTTCAAGTGAGATCCTGTAGTCAAGACCAACAGTTCTTTCCAGTTGAACAGTGAAAGTCTTCTCCAGCAACACTACCATGTCATCATCAATGATTGTAACTTCTGCGCAAATGACTGGCTGACAAGGCATTGCTCTTACAGTGGTAGATATTGACTCATAATCATGACCTGATGCTGGAAATGTACACCAAACAGCAATCATTCTGAGGAATGTGAATAGACTTCAAGGCAGATAGTGATCAAACCTATGTGTGCAAGTTCAGCTGCTGGGGTTTCACAATATCACAAGGCAAATGCAACCAGACGCACACTACCCCACCACATTGGGACTATTTCGTAGTTAAAAATACTAATCGCCTAAGAAAGTGCTTTCTTACTTGCAGTTTACATCCTGAGTAGAGAAAACAACGTTAACTCGAAATCACCAGACGACCGAATGTTTCAGGATCAGAGCTCAACCAGAGCAGCACACACCTCAACAGATGAATTACGTTCCACTGATGCTAAAATCCTCAATACCAATGTGAAGCACTAAAGAGAGAAAATACAATATAGCGTGTCAGAGGTAATGTAAAGACTTGTCATTACATCATCATTCAATGATTAACACTCTGGACTCTGCGGGATTCAGGATAATCCTGTCACCCAGATCTGTACTGCTTCCAAACTAACTGTGACACCTCAACAAGATCCTCTGTGTGGTGATCATCATGGATAATATGCCTACGCATGATCTCTGTGTGGCAATCTTCAAAAATCAATGACAGGGATTAACAGAGATCCAATATCTGGAAATGGGGGAAACCGAGTGGTCACGACTGCAAGACACATTTTGCTAAACTTTCCTTACCGGCACTGTATCTGTTATAGACAGTGGAACACTAAAAGAATGTTCAAAGGGGCATCTTGTACTTGTGGTGGATCGCCATGTAGCACACATTTGAAATGACCCGCTAATTCCGAAAAGAATATCCACTTTCTAGACCGACTACACCAGCTGAATGAGTGATGCATCATAGAAATGCCTTAAACTCACAGGTGCTGCTTACAATCATCATCCTCAATCCGTATGACAGTGTGCCCTCTTTCAATAATTGTGGCAGCTGTAGCATCTTTAATAAGAAGTGTGAGGCCAGTATACTCTGTTGGCTCCACACGCGCATCATTGTAGATTATCTGGTCATAACAAAATGTCTCTCCTTCTTCTATAGTCACCGACTGCATTTTGTTACAGCCACGATTTGTTGCTCATAATCGTCAAAGTCCTCCGCTGTATACTCCATTCAATGCTGGGAAAGTTACCATCTGCAGTAGTAGACACTATCTGTACTCACACTCACTATATACTGCTCTCTCAATACAGTCTAGGGCATCTCTTGACTTTAGTAAGGGAAATATCTGCACATATCTGCACAGACTACTACAAAAGTCTTTGTTTGGAATTTGAGTACTACCAATGCATTTTGTTACAGCCACGAATTTGTTGCTCATAATCGTCAAAGTCCTCCGCTGTATACTCACATTCAATGCTGGGAAAGTTACCATCTGCAGTAGTAGACACTATCTGTACTCACACTCACTATACTGCTCTCTCAATACAGTCTAGGGCATCTCTTGACTTTAGTAAGGGAAATATCTGCACATATCTGCACAGACTACTACAAAAGTCTTTTGTTTGGAACTTGAGTACTACCAATGCGTTTTGCATGGAGTACATACAGTTCCTTATAAGTGCTTTATTATAGTAGGTAGTGAGGCCTATAGTTAGCCGATAGGCTTACTTGCCAGCGGCTGAGGGACAGCAACAGTATCCTCAGAGTACACCTCCATTCTGATGGAGTTGGTCTTGTTAGCAGGACATGTTAGGTTGACGCAAACACTAACAGAACCAGCACCTTCACTGACAGTGTACTGCATAATACTCATGCACAACGAATGTAGCTAGCATGTAAAAGATGTTATTAGTGCTTACTTACTTTCTGACTCATCACGGATTATGACAACAACAGTGCTGGGATCAGGTTTGACCAGAGCAAAATCACTGAGGAGGGAGAGGTAAAAACTCCACATCTCCACTTGGACATTTATAGGGATCGTTGACAAAGGAAATACGATGGGCTAGATAGCTACCATAGTAATATCGAATTTTGCCTTCCTAAAACCATGAACTGAAACATTTTGAGAATTAACTTCGTATCGATGCATCATGCTTGTCTCACCAATACACCTGCTACAGCCATCAGAAGTCATGTAAGACAAGGAATCATCACTACCAATACAACACTGTTTGGCAGTGGCAGTGATAGATGACGGACTACCAGAACAATCAGTGGAAGCAAAACACTGAACAAAGTTGCCTGCAGCTACGTACGATATAAAGTCTGGCGAGTTAGAGCAGATTTTTTACCATTCAGTGGAGGAGATGGCGTGCAGTCAGCAGTGAGAACCGTCATCAATAGAAATGTCACACTTATCATTACGTTTGACGCCATCGCAGGTCGGTTTAGCTACTATCCAGTTTTAACATATTGTTTTTGGAAATCCTTCGTACACAGGAAGTATGCAGGTGCATAATATCCGCGCCGGAACGTCCGGTCCCGCGAGAGCCTCCAAGTTAACTCTAACGTCATCCGTCTCCAGTCCCGTATATACTTACCCGCCAGTTTGTCGTATCAGAGCGTCGGTAGACGCTCTATGTAGGGATGGCACGGGTGAAGTGTCACGTGATC